AGACAACATTACATGCACCACATTACATGCACCATGACATAATAGATATATCTAGTATAGGAAATTCTTCTTGTGAAATATTTAAGCAGTGCATTCCAACTCAAATATTTAACAGAATCGTCCATGATTTCAATTACATTAAATAAATGTCTGGTTGGTTAATTCAATCCAGTATAATCTATCAACTCTTCTCACAAAGAAAGGAACAAGGTAAAACTACAGCTTTGTCACATGCTGCCAACCAGATTTATGAATATTAGGACAAAAATAAAATCAAGACCATAAGAAGTTCGTTCCTGTCAAATACCATTGTTCAATACAGTGTTCGCAAACTCAAAAAACTTGAGTTATGGGCATAAGAATGCACAATAAAATGATAAAAAGGGGCAAAAAAAGCACCAAAAAAATTAGTGTTTACTCACCCATTCCATTCAACGAAAACCGGTTCGCAGTAGAGGTCACGGTAGAGTAAGAGTGCTAGGGTTTCTCACCTGTAAATTTCGAATGAATCAATCAGAATTGGGAAAGACCTTTCATTGAAAGACCAATCAATGTGTCATTTTGAGCTTTTGGATGTGTATAGGCATGTCTGATTCATAGGCTTGTGGCTGAAGTGAACCAAAGAGAAAATTCCCCAAAAGTAAAGGAGATCTCAAGCAAAATTCCCAAATGCAGTTAGTTACTACAATGAATTTCAAGGTTCAATGCTTAGGGCTAGAGCTATTTTGGATGAGGACCAATCTTAACAAGGATGGGGTTAAACAGGTTTCTATAGTTTTACCTCTATATCCCAAATGAGTTGAGTTTGATGTAAAAGAGGGGTTAAATTGTTCTAGCCATGAACCCCTTAAGAAACACCTACGATTGTAAACAACTGCATTATGGGCAACTTATAAACAGGCCCCTAATCATCCTCCTTGGTTGAACCCCATTTGAAAACCCTCATTTGGTGGAATAAGAGCCAGATAAATGAGGAGAATAACCCAGTCATCCAATATTAAGAGAAACTGAGGAACTCTATTTCCTTTGCTCTATGTGATTCTCAAGTGTGAATTCTGCCAGTATAATGTTATATCCATAAGTTGAAGAATTCCTATAGTTTATAATGGATTTAGACCTCGCCATAGCTAAGATGTCATTTTATGTACAATAAGTGAGAATTGCAAAATGTATGTTCACAACCTTTTTGTTCCGGCACCCTTCCTGCAGAAGGTGTTGTAATATTTGATTAAAATTGTCTAAAATTTGTAAAACGAGAAATTGTAAACTACGACTCCCTTGAGCTTTGTAGAATTTTTGAACGAAATGAAAAGACATCCACCAGTGAAACCAAGAAAAAAGACATCGAAAAACAAAAAGATGAAATATCAAATAAAAGCTTAGACGCTTAGGTTATATAAATTCTAGTTTGTGTGAAAGGAGGAAGCCCAACTCATTTAACACTGGTGGCAGCCAAAAATTACATTTAGGATGTTTCATAAAACCTTGTGTCCTCTGCCACCATTTCAATAATATGCTCTTAAAACCGTTAATACAATATCCCACTGTAAATAGTACAGTTGCGAGGTTTCTATCTTTTATTTTTACAAAAAGAGTTTGGTTCGTATAAGGTTTTGACCTTAAACAATCAAAGAGAGGTTGCACTTCTAAATCTTGCTAAAGGATGCAATTTCCATGTCATAAGCTTTTACAATAATCTAAAAATTTATTACCACCCCTATTATGAAATTTAAATTTTCAAAAATAGTATAGATCGAGCAAATCTATAAACATTTGAAAATTTTGAAGATTAAACAGTCTTAAAAATGTGCTGCAAGATGCGCCCCTAGTTGAATCTTTGTTTTTGTGAAAAATTGTTTCATGCGCGCTGGACCTCATTTCTACAATATGCGGTCCAGAGGTATAAAGCATCTATCTTAAAGATAGATGCAAATAGGT